TATTTTTAAATGATGACATATGACTTGAATACGAGAACTCATGATTTAACATGTTTAATATGATAACATGTGAAATATTTGCATATGCGTGATCAGTATCCTAACTGATTATATAATTATGAGTATGAATGCATAATTATGTAAATGATTGTAAGTTCCCACTACTGACACAGCCAAGGGGAGCTAGGGGGTGATATAAAATGGGCCCTTGTTTTCAAAGTTTTTGTTAGCTCACGGTGTGGCTCTATTATTCAAGTTTGAGGTCATGGGATCAAACTATGCTGGTTGAATTTTTTATTTTTTTAATTTGGTTATTTACATAGTTCTTTTAATTAGTTCTTTTAGCCCTCAACGGAGTTGTGCCTCATATATATATTCAAGTTTGAGGTCATGGGATCAAACTATGCGTGTTGAAACTTTTTATTATTTCAATTTGGTATTTCTACATAGTTTCTATTAAGTACGTCCTTATATTATAAGATAAAAATTTTAAGAATTAATTTTTATATAGTGAATTCAATTATTTAAAATATATATGCCATATATATAATGAGCACATAAAGTTCCATAATTTTAATAAAATTATTTTTTGTTTCTATTGGAATGACTTATATTATTAATTTAATTTAGTTTATTTAATTTATATTTTTTTAAATTTTAGTTTTGGAATTTTGATTCCATTCTATGAGATATATTAAAAATTCAAAATCTCTCAAATAATATAATGGTGTTAATAAAATTTTTATTATCCATTTTCATTTATTCTATGTTAAATTAAAAATTTAACAATTTGAAGAGAACTTTGAATTCTAAATTTCTTTAGAATAAACAAACATATGATATTTAATTTATTCAAAAAAATTAAAAATAAATATTTATAATTCATGATTCTATTTAATAACTTTAGAAAAAAACAGAAATTGAATTGATTAAATTTAAAATACAAAAAAACATATCTACCTAAATTTTACAATATTTAATCTCATTTTACATTGTAATTAAATGTGTAAATTTTTATGGAAAATTATTTCTTTAACCTTATTGAAATTAATTAGTTATACTAAAAAATCTATTTATTTCATCTATTTTATAAAAAAATTTGTTGATTAAATGTATATTTATCTCATGTCAATCTTGACCATTATTTTCAGACTTTTTGTAATCATAGTTTATTTTTTTATCATCTTTTATCATAGAAACAAAATATATATTACACCCCACTCTCGAAAAAATCACTGATCCTAGTAACTAGTTTGATGACGTACATTGAAAATGTATGAATATGACATCATTAACTTTATACTTCTAGGTATCGATGTTTATCAACGCGCCAGTTGCTTAAAACTGAGAGGTGCTTAGTCGAAAACGGTAGGAACCAACAATACAAGAAAGATTGAGAGGGTTTCTTTTGGTAGTCTTTAAGTTATGCTTTATACGTGATATTATTGGATTAATGAACTATTACTACATTATGTCTCATTTAGAGTATGTATTTCATTGCAAAGGAAACTCTATTAAATTATTATTCTAAGTATACTCTCTGAAGTTAGAATTTATGGAGCTATGCATGTTTTAAGTTACAGATTAAAAGTTTAAGATTCTATGCCCAAAAAAATTAATTTAAATATATATATATATATATAAATGAGCACATAAAGTTCCATAATTTTAATAAATTATTTTTGTTTCTATTGAATGACTTATATTATTAATTTTAATTTTAGTTTATTTAATTTTATATTTTTTTTAAATTTTAGTTTTGAATTTGATTCCATTCTATGAATATATAAAATTCAAATAAATAATAAAATATATAATGGTGTTATAAATTTTTATTTCAATTATTCATTATTTGCTATTTAATTAAAATTTAACAATTTGAAGAGAACTTTAGAATTCTAAATTCTTTGAATAAACACATATGATATTTAATTTATTCAAAAAAATAAAATAAATATTATAATTCATGATTCTATTTTAATAACTTTAGAAAAAAAATATGAAATTGAATTGATTAAATTTTAAAATTAAAAAAAACATATTTTAAATTTTAAATATTAATCTTCATTTTCATTGTAATTTTTAATGTGTAAATTTTAGGAAATTATTTCTTTCCTATTGAAAGTTATTATGTATACTAAAAAAATCTTTATTCATACTATTTTTATTAAAAAAATTTTTGATTAAATGTATATTTATTCATGTAATTACATTATTTTTAGACTTTTTTAATCAAGTTTATTTTTTATTCATCGTATCAAGACAAATATATTTTCACCCCACCTATGAAAAAATCCTGTCCTAGTAACTAGTTGTGACCGTAACATTGAAAATGTATGAGATTTATGAGCATCATTAAATTTTATATTTAGTGTATCGATGTTTATCACGCGCAAGTTGTAAACTGAGGGTGCTAGTCGAAACTAGGATCAACATCAGAGTTGAAGGGTTTCTTTTGGTAGTCTTTAGTTTATGCTTTAGACGTGTATTTTGGATTATGACATGTATACATTATGTCTATTAGAGTTGTATTTCATTTGAAGGATATGTATTAAATTTATATTCTTAAGTATATATGAAGTTAGAATTTATGGAGCTATGCATGTTTAAGTTACAGAATTAAATTTAAGATATCTATGTATGAATGTTTATGAGAAATATATGAGTAACGATGATGATGATTGTTGAATTGATATTGAGGTGTGCGAAATGAAATTGATTTATATGTTAGAGTAGCATGGATGTATGTTGAGGTTTGTGAATTAGAAGTGCTAAATCCAGATTTTAGGAGAAACTCTTGTAGATTTTTCACAGGATTTTCCAAATTATTTTCTATGTTAAAATTATGGATTTGTGACACTTGTGACATATTTAGTTCACATATTTAGATTTAAGTTTAATCTGTATGCTAGGTTGGTTTCTCCGACACCGAATGTGGCATCTATCTTCTATTCCTTTAAGACTAGGCGAAGGGTGTCACAAATAATAAATCTAAGGTTTTTTTCTTTTTTTTTTTTACGTGGATATTCTGATAAAAGATAAATCATATTACCTCTGGATGAAGGAAGTAGCATGTTTAGTGCTGCTAAGTGATATTTTCTGAAAATGTAGTGTTTTTGCAGTTAACATAAGATATGTAAGATCATTCTCATGCCACATTAAGGCTAAGTTTACCCCTTTTCATAAAGGTCTTATTCTATCTCTAGCAACAAAATCAATACTCAATTTATGCGGTTTAGATATTTGAAATTCACCTCTCAATTCTTGACTGGCTCATCTAATGTCATATAGATAAATGGATCTAGATTTACCTGCAAGCTTTCAATATACATAAATCAAATAAAAAATATATAACACATTATAGTTGATTCAATTATTATATTGCCCGACATCCATTACTAACAGACATCATTTCATAATCAAAATCATAAAATTACACATTAATGGAAACTAAAACAATGAAAATAACCAAACAGTTATCTATGTCCTTATATTAATAAAAATATATCATTGTATGATGTTGTCTTCAAATAAAGATCAAATTGAAGAATAGGAACTAAAAAACAATTGAAACATAAATAAATGTGGCCTTCAGTATCAAACAATTAAATCAATTCTCCCATGATTGAATTGTTGCTTAACCTCAAACAATTAAATCAACTCTTCTTTCTTTGAAGCGTGTCATCCCTAATATTTAAATCAAGGACCAGTATGATAAGATTAATTTCTAAAAGAATAAATAACATTTAGGAACTAAACCTTTGTATGCCAATGTTTCTTCAGTATTTTTAGAAACAGAAAATTCAAGGAGTCATTCTAACAATTAGTGATTTATTAGGATGATAAAGCTAGTAAGCTTCACTCTATAGATTATATTTCATAAACAAACTTTCCATATCCATTCTCCATTGATTAAGAAATAATAGGGTTGTACTGAGGCTTCAGGAAAATGACTTTATTATAAAGAAATTGATTTCTTTTTATGTGATCTATCCTGAATTAAGATGAATAAAGGAATTTTCTCTTCTCAAGTTTATTCTTTTGCTCCAATCCGAATTCTTTTGTATAAGGATTTTGATTGTTTGGGAATGGTACTAAATGGTTTTTTTTCTTTTCTTCTCTTCTATGTATGTTTTTTTTTTTCTTCTTCTCACTTTCTTTTTCTTATTTTCACCCTTTCTTTGAAGGGTGATTTTGGGATAGAGAAACTGAGACAAGTGTTTTTGTGATTTGTTTTGTTCTATTCCCAACACAAAAGGTGCAAGGGGATGAAAACTGTCTTTTATATCTAAGATTTATAGTAAAAATTGAATTTTAGGACTCAAGTGAGTCTTATCAAGGAATAAAATAATAATGGGTATAAAAGAATTCTCACAGCTCTTGATGTGGCATATTCAAGAAAATGCCTTGCCTATATCATGTTCTTTAGGTGCATAATTTTTTTGAATTTCACCTCAAGGGTTACCGGAAAAGGGTGCTTAATCTAGAGAAGTAATTTTTGCTACCAGCCACATGCTAATTGCTAAATCTCTTTTCAACCATCTTAATAAGTGTATGATTAAATCTAATTTTACAAATTGAGGTGAGTTAAAATATTTAAGAAATATAATATATTTATACAAGCCCAAGTGTTAGATGACTTAAAGTAAAAAAATCAAGAAGCCCACAATTTTAAAATAATAAAATACAAAAATGAATTCATGTATTCAGCCCTGAAACAAAATTAACTTTATCGCGCGTCAAACAAAATTGTCAAATACTGTTAAACATTCCAACAGATATTAGCCAGTGCAATTTTCCAGGGGGAAAAAGGTGCCACCTCAAAAGATTTCTTTAAGCCTAGATTCAGTATATATACTGCCATCTTGTCCTTTCATCATTAGAAGTTGCAGAATTTTTTTTTTTTTTTTTTGGTCATTGTGACATCCAAATACGCAAGGGATACCAAAATAGTATCCATTTTCACAGAGATTTCAATCAATAGCATAGCAAAGACGCAATAAGCAACAAGAAAATGATCACATTGCATATAGTTATCAAAACATATCATTACAGTCGAGAAGGCTTCCTGTAAGGTCGCTTCATTATTTCTAGTGTCGGAAGTACATATTAGTAACACAATGAGTGGTGATCAGAGTCCTATAAGAGACTGCTGGATAACCAAAGCTGCTGCAAGCCAAATACAAAATAACAGCTTGAACAGAAACAAGCTTCAAGTTTTCTTGTTTGCGCTTTTGGCTGCCTGTCATGCTGCAAAAAAAAAAAAAACCGGAAAAGTACATCTGAACATCTAACAAAACATGTAAACAGCACCAGAAGCTAAAGTCAGAGACAATTAGCTGTTTTTCAATGTTTGATTTCTAAATTTGGCAAAGTTAAAAAATGTCTCGCATTGTGTTTATTCCAGTTTAGGCCAAATATGCAGCAAAGGATTGCCATTTAAAAAATTTGTGGCAACAACTCCAATACTGGCCATTACTTGTTCATCACCAGAATGCCAAAACTGCACCTGAAGCCAACATGTCTACCCATATTTTTACACGCAGACCTCAAATCAAAACCAGCACCCCTTTACCATCAAATCAATATCTCACCAATAAGTGAAACAAGTTGAATTGAGCAAAATTCCGCGATCCAGGCGAACTATACAAATTATCATTCAGTTTCCATTCAGATTTTTCTTTCCTTTGGCCTCAAGAGTTTTTAATTCATATGTTTTGCCATTGATGCAAAATAAACCCTATATAAACTAAAAATGTAGAGTGATAGAACAAAAATTACCTTTTACCACATAGAGGATGCATTTTCATATACAATTCTTTCCCTAATTTTGGTCATCATCATCAAAGGCATAACAGGGCTCTCACTCAATCATCTGTTGAGCCTTTGAGCTTCTTCATCCTCCATGACACATGGAAGAAGCTTCAAATGGATACCGAAAGTGGTGGGAATGTATCACACTGCAAATAGCCACTCCTACCCACCTCGGCTCCTTATGCCTGCACACCTGCAAATTGAGATACGATGTGATGCTGTATCAGCACATTAACATTCCAAGCCCATGTTTCAGTTTGCAGGGTGCAGGCATGGTCCAAGCCCCTCAACGGGGCCGGGCTAAACCAAAACTCGCATCAGGTTGCTGTTGATGAGACTGCAAAAGCACAAAAATGAAAATTGATAAGATGACCCAAACCATTGGAAACAACCACTCCAATTACAATCACAACTTGACTCCAATTTTTACCAATTAGAAATTCAAAACAGATACAAACTCAAGATCAAGCAAAATCAAGTTGAAATTGCATTTCTTTAAACAATAATATCAATATGATTTTACAAGTTGAAACCGCAAGTCAAATATTCATAATTTACAATAAATGCTTTCTCTTGTACAATTGGACAGGCCATTGCTGCTTCATCACTTGGAGATCATTTTCAAGTATAATTGCTTGGTCACTATCAAATAGCACCAAATATTATATATACGATGCTATTATGATCATTCATAAAGTATCCAAATTATCGTTGTCATCATGAACATGAAATAATGTTTCATACATTCATGAAATGAATAACATAGTATTTCTATTACTATTAGTACTGGTAATTGCTTTTCAAATTTGAATCGTGTTTTAAAGTACTTGGTTTCAACACGTTAACAAATTTGCTAAGTAATTAAGTAGTTCTTACATCAATGATTAATTATGCAAATGATGCTTTTAAGAATAAAATACTTTTACGATCTCATACTTCACAATGTACTAATGGGCATGCAGTCCCTAAACTAGCCACTGAATTTCATTGTCCTGAATCAAAGAATGACTAAATTCAAAATGCAAGAATGAAGTTACAATCATATTTATCATGTTTAATAGATTTCATATTCTTAATTAATGGGGCAATTTCCAGGACAACAACTTTCTCATTCTTCCCTCTGTTTCCCTCCCCTCTCAGCATGTTAAAAAAGAAAGCTGAAGTCCAAAAGTAACGTGATGGCCCATAAACACACGAAGACTGTGTTTGGATAAGAGAGGAAACAAAATAAGAGAGGAAAGAAAATAAAGAGGGAAAATAACGAGGTGTGAAGAATTTTGAAAAAAAAAAAAAGAAATTTTCCTTCCTTGTGTAATGTGTTTGGATATAGGAGGAAAACAACAATTATGTTGCCTCCACAAGTTCTTGTTCAGGTTTTTTCAGTTCACCCTCTAATTAGGAGAGAGAATTTTGGAAAACTCTTTATTTTCAATTTCTCAAATAATGGAAAATAGCATTTCCTTATTATTTTCTTTATTTTTTTTCATGCCTGCATATTTACCTTCTACCCAAACATAGCCTAAAAAAATATTTTGAAGTACAATATGGTCGCCACATCAAACTTTTTGTACTAAATTTGGCATAAATTTCATCTGTCACAAAGAATAGATATTTTTACAGAGATAATTCTGAAAACTAGTGGAGAAAATCTAATGGCTGCCACTGAAAATAACCAAGCACTAGAAATCTGGCAATTCTGCGAGGTGTGTACGGATTCCTCAACGTTCTAGATCAAAAGAGCAAGTTTGAGAACTTAACAAATGTCAAACAATCACCAAAAATGTATGAGTTATATTGGAGAGGGATGAACACTCTTTGACTGCATTTCCTTTTTATTTAATCAGCAATAAGCGGTATCAGCATTCTTTTCTTTTACCATCTGATAGTAAATTTGGAAGTAGGAATTGTAACATCCAATCTTTCCATGACTTGTTCCTTTCCATTCTTCAGTAGGGGAAGCAGTATTTCATTGCATACACCATTTACATCATCTTTTGCTTAAATATTAATTATGAGAACAAAAATAAGTGATAATAAATACTAGCATGGCAAAATTATCAAGACCAGATTTCAATGAAAAATGAGTCGTAGAGAATTTGGAGATCTTAAAACTATTGAAACATCCAACAAAGATCATGTGATTTAATTGCAAACGATGGTCTCCAATAGCAACAATTAATTATGGGATTCCAAATGCCATACCTGTGAAAAAGGTTGAACATGCTCATGAGGATGGATGAAAGGCATTCCTGGGCGCTGACAGGGGTACTGAGAGGAATGCAGATAAATGGCAGATGTGGAGCGTGCACCAACATGATTTGGATTGAATGGTGGCAGCATTGTTTCTGGATGGCCATATCCAATTCCAGCAGGGTTTGATGGGGCAGCCCATGGCCCATGTAAATGTTGAGGAAGAGGTCGAGGTTGGTGTTCAGTGGATATCTGTGGCCTATGGCTAGAACCAAGCTGAGGAAATTCGGTATTGTAGTTCAATGCAGGGGTGTACATTGGCTGCAAGGTATAAGGTCCTCCATTGAATCCAAATCCAGGATCAAATCTTTGCATATACCTGGATGAAGACTTTACTATTAAATTATTTGCTGTACAATTATAAGAAATTGAGTTCGCTGCTGCTTAAGCTAATCAGAGCATCTCAAAGCAAAGAAATCACTTTCAAATCTGTACTAGTTGAAGCAGTTAAAGACTATATAGAGCCACCAATTATCCATTTTTATCTTTTACTCAACGGAATCTTTTGCAGATGTAATCTAAACAATTCTATCAAAACCACGCCAAGCACTTGGATTGAGTCATTCACATTGTAAGAAGGAATAAGATGGCACTCAACAAAATGTGCAAGCTATATGCATTAAAATTATTGAAGGAGCGTGTTATTTATTGCCCCTCTTTGACATCACTCAGTAGTCCACTCATGTTTATAATGCATTGTTTCTTATCCTATTAGTGTTATGCAGCATGTATACCGTTTATCCCTCCTCTTTATTATATAACTCAGTAGCATCTTTGATGTTTTCTAAGTGCAAGTCTGTAACTTCAACATCTGTCCGAAAAATTCACATGCAAGGGAAAAAGAAAAATTACCTGTCATAGCTCCGGTCATAATCAGGGTCTTTCCTATCAATTTCACGGTCTCGAAATATGGCCACCCTATTGTTTGGTTTGTACCTACTAATTGGCTCTTTTTCTATCCTAGTCCTAGTTGACCTATTGCTACTAATAGAAGATTCAATAGAACCTCTACTAGAATTTATATCCAAATTTCCTGAAACAGGTTTTTCTTCTGTCTTGAAAATACCCAATAAACCATGCTGGGAACCATCTTGCAATCTTGGTTCCCCTTCTGGCTTCCCACTAGCACCACTGCTAAAACCACTAGAATTAAATATTCGAGCTCGTGCCCTGTTGTATTCCTCTTTTCTTTCCTCCACACTTTTGGAATTATTTGTCTTCAAGGAACTTGAATTTGAATTGTTGACAGTTTGGGGCCGCTTCTGTGGCCTTTGTTTAATTGCAACCTTAACAACGCTGCTGTCTTCTGATGGCAAATTTACAGGGATGTCTGCCAAGCGAACTGAAGGCAGCCTACACTCAGAAGTCTTGCGGACAATAATTCTAGAACCAGAACCATCAGGTAAATTGTTGTCTAACAAAACCATAGATGGCAGTGAGTAATGCTGTGCCACACGGTGTGCAGCCAACCGTAAATATGAAGTGGGCAACTGCTGAAATTCTAATTGCTGTTGTGTAGGATCACAAATGAACTTCTCTACATCTTGCTCCATCCTCAGAACTACAGAAAAGAAAAACACTTGTATTTATTTATATGAAAAAGGAGGGAGAAAAGCTTAATAAACACAAATCCAAGATCAGAACATCTTCTCAAATGCCAATACCATAAAGAATTCATGTTGAGAACCAAATAACAATGACTGACTTGATTTTATGACAAACATCATCAGCCTGCTCACAGTAGTTTCATGAAACTGCATTAACTAAAAAATAAAAGAAAATTGCAAACGATAGAAGGTTGCTAATACTTTATACCGTTAAATGTTAAAGTATTAGAACACAAAATTGATGCAGAATACAACTTAAAAAATGGATTCCAGACATAACTCAATCAGCATTGAATTAAAAGACTAACACATTTTAAATTAAGTGATTTTGTCAAAATAAATCAACTTTCACTTACAAGAAAATTAACAGAAATTACTTGGATAATCACATCATGGAATTCATTATTCAACAGAGCAATGATTCCATACTAAACTTGCCATTCACAATAACACAACAACCAAGCCTTAATCCCAAACTAGTTGAGGTCGGCTATATGAATCCTTTGTTTCAAATATCCACTCCGATCAGGTTAAGAACAATGCAAAACAAAATATAACGCAAAGCGAAATAACATTGGTAAAGGATAGTAAATTAATATTATCTACATGTGCATCCAAATAACAACAGTGAAATACTTCTTAACCAGAAGTTAATAAGATTATGAAAAATCATTCTCAGGATGTCAACAAGAAAGCCTAGACTTGATTCCAATTTTATGGTGAAAACATAATGTATTTTCAGAAAATTCCAGATAGCAACAGCCTTAAATACGGATTAATGCAGATATTCTTGCAAAGGAAATGAAGAAACCATGTTGGAGGGAAGGAACTCAAAACCATTACATATTTAATGATTTAAACAATAAGAAAATGAAACAGGAAAACTTAAGCCTGCCATAAACAGAAACAGAGAAAATCAATCAAAAAATGGTTTACATCTAAAATAACTCTTCAACTTAATGACTCTCCTGCTAGATCCGAGATCCTTTAAGCAGATATAAAACTCAACGTCTCTCAAAATCCCAAAAATCAAGTCACCAGCTTCCTTGGCTGTAGTACGCTTGCAATATGTAAGCCCATAGAAGTGTTTAATATGTGAAGATATATAGACCAACAAAACCTAATAAACAAGGTAAAGCTAATGGCATAAATAGCCTAGAAAATCATGGGAATTAGCCTCACTCTTGCTTGGGTATCTATAGGGTTCATAGAGGATGATGTAGAACTGAGGGAGCATTTCCAATGTAGAAGGACAACATGGTGTCCTTTTTGTCTCAAAATCTCTCAAATAATCTTTTGTATTTTCTTTTTGGGAGAGAAAGAGGTGGGTTCTTTAGGGAAATGACAAATTCCTGTCTTTCTGACTTCTTTGAGACAATGGCTGAAATAAAAGAAATGGAAAAGTAGATAGCAATCGAACAAGATGATTTCCAAAGAAATAGCTCACCTTTTTTCAGTCAACCTAATCCATTTCCCAAGAAAAGTGTTTCTATTCTATGAATGTTTTCAATACGCACAGTAAATGAAATTCTTATGCAAACAGGTTGGCATCCCCTAGATGCCACGCTAAGGCCATGTTTAGTACATGGAATAGGAATGGGAATAGAATTTCTATTCCCAATTCCCTTGTTCAGTAGCAGTTAAGGCTTGAAATTGGTAACGGATTATGGAATTAGTTAAGGAATTGAGGGTGTATTCACTTGTAGAAAACTGGAGTAGTTTTCAAGAAAAGTTTTCTAAGAAAACTAGAAAATAGAGTTTTATGTTCAAATCAGTCGGTTTTCTAATTGAAAAACTAGAAAACAGTTTTCCAAAATTTAACTAAGATTTGGAAAACAATTTTAAATTGTTTTTCAGAGTTTTTCTTTATAATAAAAGACATGTTTTCAACTGTTTCCATTTTTAAAAAATGACATTTTCATAATTGAAATTATAATATCTATAAATAATTTTTTCTGACATTTTCATAATGAAATTATAAAATAGTCTATAATAATTTTTCTGAATAAGTAAAGATTTATTATTGTGCTTTAAATAAATAAGAATAATTATCTATTACAAATACATTATATCCTTTAGTTTTTAAAAATTTACAAAATGATAAAATGATATTATTTATTGACAGATAATCAATAATTAAAATATGTCAATAAACTTTAACACATAGAAAAAATTTTTAAAATTTTTTAGTTTTATAACAGTTGTGTATTTCTTTTAAGTTATGAAAGTCAATGAATACGTTTTGTGAAGTGTAAATTAGAAATATGAAATTTTTTTATTGGTACCAGTGAAATGCATTTTGTCATTCTGTTTTTAGTTTTCTTTTCTAAAGAAAACGTTTTGCTTATGAAAGCAGAAAATACAAAAAATCAGGCCTGTTTTCCTAATAAAGTAGAACACACCGCTGAGATTCTTACGCATCCCCCCCCCCCACAAAAAAAAAAAAAAAAAACAAAAAAAACAAAAAAAAAATCCCAATTCTATATGAAATCATTTTTTGAAAAAAACCACGAAATATGCCCTTTAGTCTCTATCATTGGGTATTCCATGTTCTCTCTTTCCTAAAAAAAAAAAAAAAAAAAACAAAAAAACAAAAAAAAATCCCAATTCTATATGAATATTTTTGAAACACGAAATATGCCCTTTATCTCTAATCATTTGGGTATTCCATTTCTCTCTTTCCTTAATAAAACAAATGGTGGATTAGTCTTGTACTAATTTTCCATTTTGTTCCTTTCTATTTCATATTGTACACTAAACATATGACTAAGAATTCTATTCACCATTTCATTCCATTCCATTCTCTGTTTTGTACTGAACATGGTCTAATAGCCTTTTCATCTCTCAAACATAATGCCCAAGTAACAAAGTGAAATGAGATGAATCTTAGAATGAGTTGCATCCCCTTCATCTTATCATTAATGAAACGAGGAAAAAGTCACTTTAGCTTTAAACAGAGCTAATTTCACTTAACCTTCCCTGCAAAACCTTGATCCATCCCACCTAGTGCCTCATGATAAATAGATAGATGTAAATTCACACCCTTAAATACATCAAACCTGCTAACTGATAGCAACGAAACATGTTGATTTCCAAAGAAATAACCACCTTTTTCTACTCAACCTGATCCATTTCCAAAGATTTTATGGACATTTTCACATAGTAAATGAAATTCTTTTGCAAACAGGTTGGCATCCACTAGGTGCCACACTAATAGCCAGTGTTATCAAAATCATGTTGACTTATGCTTAAAATCAGAATTTGTCAAACTCTTGGATGAAGCAAAATCAATTAAATCAGTAAAAATGGTAAAAATTGAACCAAATTTAAACCTCGTGTGAAATAGTCCATTGGGCTGGAACTTTTAATCCAAAAAATGATAAATAGGCTATTGGACTGGTCTTATTAACAAGACAAATGAGTCTGGGCCAGGTTTGGAAGCTCAAAAATTAGAAAAAAAATTGAAATAAAATTTACATAGTAACACAATTAAGGATCAACCATTTTCATGATCCCCTATCTTCATTGTCTCTCTACCCACTCTTCTCTCCTCCTTTTTAGCTCCTCTTTTACCTATAACCTTTGATCCTCCTTACCACAAACAAACAGCAAGCCATAACAACAAGAAGGGATGAAAAGAATTAAACTATATTAAAAGCCCTGCAAGAAGCTAGAAAAGTCTTTTTATCTTTTTTTTGTTATGTTCTTGACTTGTTATGAATGTATGTATGGAGCTCTGTTATTGTATTTTAAGCGGTTTGTAAATGTGGACAGCCAACCGATTCTAGGTAAAAAAGAGAGTTGGACAACCTTGCTAATAGCCTTATCATCCCTCAAAAATAATGCTCGAGTAACAAAGGGAAATGAGATAGATCTTATAAAGAGAGTCAAATCCCCTTCATCATATCACTAAATCAAACGAGGAAAAACACCTCAGCTTTAGAAAGAGATAATTTCGCTTAATCCTCACCAAAAAGCCTTGACCCATCCTAACTAGTGTCTCATGTTAAACAAATAGATGAACTAGTCAGCTCTCACCCCATAAATACATTAAAACCTGCTAATTGAGGAATAAAAGCACACAATTGCAATCAGGACTTGACAAATCAACTAAACTACTCTGTCAATCAGGACAACCGCTTAAACTATAAGACCAAAGAGAACTCTACGAAATTTTATAGCAACATAACACATGTTATGTATATAAGTACACTTACTGGAAAGCCGCTCGCGAGGGTTCTGCAACGCTTCCCGAAGGAACTGATCGACCTGATTAATTAAATCTTCCGATACAACTTTGTCACCAGTACCGGTACCTGAAGCCGAAGATCCAGAACCCAAAACCGAGCCCGAATTAACAGAAGTCGGAGAGTCGATGGAGAGCTCTTGAGAGGATTGCTTGCAGTCTCTCTTCGAATCCTTGAGCATCAAACGGCTCATCGTTTCGTCCAAATCGGCCACCTCCCATGACTCCGGGGCTCCGAGATCCTCAACCACAGAGCCCTCCATAGATTTTTTTTAACCGATAGAGATACGGAGAAAGAGAAATCGTTAGAGTTTATTATGAGAGTATAATACTTTGATTATTCTCATCAAATTATGCCTTGAGTTATCTTCTTGATCGGATATTTGATTGGGAATCTAGGGTTTGCGTGAGAATTGAATTTCATGTAAGAAATTTTTTATTCTTTTTTAGGGAATTTTTAGGGTTAGGGTTTGGAACTTGGGGTTAGAGAGAGAAGTAACGATCTAGATAGAGAGACAGGGAAGATTGGGTTTGAGCTTGACTATGGCGTGTGTGTATCAGCATCGTAGTATTCTATTGCACGTGTCATTTTGATATGTATTAGGACAATATTCAGCTACCCGCATTTCTATGTGCCCGCTTATGGGAACTTTTTTTTTTTTTTTTTTTTTTTCATTTTTGATATGCGTCTAAATTGTAGGACAATATTACAGGCTACCCGCATTTCTATGTGACCGCTTATGACTTTTTTTTTTTTTTTTTGTTTTTTTTTTTGTTTAGGGGTAAAACGGCGTAATTTAACATTAGACAAAAGAAGAAACTAACTGAACGCAACAGTACAATGTCCACTAAGGACGCCATCTTTGTGAGCCCACAATTATGAGGCTACAAAAATAGACTGTCCATCGTCCTAAAGACGCTAGACGGTGTGTGGCAACTTTATTTCGCACACTCTAGGATAGTGGATTAGATTTTTTTTTTTTTTTTTTTTTTTTTAGGGGTAAAACTGCGTAATTAACAATTAGAAAAAGAAGAACTAACTTGAACCAACAGTACAATGTCACTAGGACCATCTTGGACCCAAATATGAGCTAAAAAATAGACTGTCATCGCTAAAGACGCTAACTGGTGTGTGCAACTTTATTGCACACTCTAGGAATATGATTAAAAGAAAAAAGCTGGAAATTTGAAGCTAAAACATAAAAATTCTACTTAATCTAGTTCCTCATTCAGTTGGAGGAAACTTCTTTGAGGCAAATTGTCGAACAAGTGTAGGCAGTAAGACTCCACAGCAACTTGAGTAAAAGATAAGGAGAGCAATCTCCGAAGCAAAAATTGCTGCCTTTGCTTTAGCACTGAACCTCTAAACTACCTTCAAGCCTTTTCGCCCCCATTGCCATCAATTCCCCTTTCTCGTTTCGGATCACAAAACCCAAATCACACCTTTTTTGGATTCTCAAAACTCCCGCATCACAATTAATTTTAACCGCAGACTCGACAAGGGGCACCAATTTGAGAACGATTCAGTTAATACAGGTGCACCAGAAATCATACCTGACATTTGATAATCATGGATCATAGACAAGGCCTGATCATAGACAATTCGTATCTTTATTCACATCGCCATAGCTACTACAAATCAAGCCCACTTGGACTGCTCTACGTAAAAGGCTAGTTTGGTTGGAAGTTGGCTAGAATAAGCTCTATGGAAGAAATGTTTGAGCATAGGAGGAAGATCTAAATTCCATAACTTTTTCCAGTAAAAAGCCTCACCCCACTCAGATGAACTGGCCATAGTTGACGTAACCAGCACATTAAATATAAAAGCATAGACGGACTTGACTGTAAAAGACCTAGCTTGTTATAAACTCAACTACAAACATCCTGCCCCCTCTGCATACATAAAGGAATTCTAAGAATACACTCCCCTTCTTCAGCTGAAAAAAATGGACAAAATCACATGCTGATTCCGACAACCAGCTTCAAAATCTATTAAATTATAAACCATAGCATTTTCATCTTCCAATTGCATAAGAGAGCTTAATCTAAAATTATGCAAACCAGGAACCCATTTATCCTTCCATATGTGGATACGTAAACCATTTCCAACCACCCATCTCGTCCCTTCCTCCACCACCCATCTAGCCTCCATTATAATTCTTCATGTGAAGCTCGGTTGGTACACTGACCTAGCCTTTTGAAAAGAACAATTGGGAAAATACTTAGCTTTAAAAAATTTGAAGATTTATGATTCACCATTATTTATTTACCGCCAACACTATTTGGCCAATATAGCCAAGTTAAAGGAATGTAAATTTCTAAAACCAAGACCACCCCAAAACTTTGATAAACACAATTTATGCCAACTAGCCCTGTGAGTACGCCTCTCCTCTTTCCGCTGCCCCCACCAGAAATTATCCGTCATCACCTCAATTTTCAAACAAATCTCTTTTGGAAGGAGAAAACAAAGTATAGTATAATTGGGAACTGCTTGCACCATAGATTTCAATGGGATCTCTTTACCAGTACAAGAAAGGACTAATTCTTTCTAACTCTTTCGTTTTTTTGCTACCCTATCAACAAGGGTATTAAACATTTGCTTCTTTTGCCTTCCTATGATTGCCGGCAAGCCTAAATAACTGCAGAAGTTAATAACGCTTTTCACTCCCAACAAATTAGATAACACCTCTCGATTCACCACCAAGATATTCTTACTAAATGAACGTCAGATTTGTCTAAGTTGATTTTCTAACCCGAAGGTTTCTCATATTCCGCCAGTATATTTGTTAAGGTATTGATTTCAGCTGTTGTTGCTCTCCCAAAAATAATAATATTAACGGCGAAGAAAAGATGGATATCGGCGGAGCCCTTGGATAAATTTTAATACTATGAAGGAGCCTAACTAATTCTGCTCTCCTAATTAAATTAGAAGAAGCTTCTGCACAAAAAAGAAACATATATGAAGAGAAGGGGTCTCCTTGTCTAAGCTCTCAGTTAGGAAAAAATAATCATGAGGCTCTCTAGTGATAAGAATAGAATATGACATAGTAAAGATACATCTCATCACCAAATCAAGCCAGTTATTATCAAAACCCCATTTAAGCATTACATCTCTCGAAAAGCACCATTCCACCCTATCATATGCATTACTCATATCAAGTTTGCATGCAAAAAACCCTTTGCACCCACTAGATTTATTTTTCATTTAATGAAAAATTTCAAAGGCCATAAGAGCATTATCAGTAATTAACCGACCTGGCACAAACGCCGAGTAAGATTGGCTAATAATCAAAGGAAGAAGAAGTTTTAATATATTAGCTATGACTTTGGTAATAATTTTAAAAATCACATTACAAAGACTAGTAGGGCGAAACTAAGAAGTAAGATAAGAGTCATTAACCTTAGGAATCAAAGAAACAAATGTCTGGTTAATTGTAGACGCTCAATTTTTGCCCTAAAAAGACTCAATGATGATAACATTTTTTATGATAAAATGAGTTTTAGATATCCGATAAGCTTTATTTTCAAACCAATGATCCGAGATTAAGAAATGTGACTCGTCGAGTCATTTTCACTTTTTTAGGTTCGCACAGAAAAAGGGCCCGGGAAGTGTCTCGGGTGCACCCGTAATGCATCTTGGTACATTGTCTTGTTTTACATGCCGCCCAGGTTGATTTCATGAAAATTGGGCCCAGCTTGTTTCGAGGCCCATCAATGGCTAGTGCCATGTAGGCCCTAAACCTACTGTCACTTAGTCACTCATTTGCCTATAAATAGACCAAGGGTCTAAGCCAATGGGGGTGGGGGAAAATTGGATGCCTAAACAAGCTCTTGAATTTTTGTTTCTCAAAAACCTCTCAATGTAGATCTTTAACAAGTTTTATAGATTTATTTGAAGAGAGAAGATTTTTATCAAAAACTTCAGTGGGTTTGCAATCAATCCTTCTCTAAACAATAATCAGCTAACTAAATTTTGGGTCATTGATCAAAGAACAAGGTCATTGGGTATTTCTTACCATTTTCAATCCAATCTCGAGTTTTTCTTTAAAACAAGGTAAACTGAGAGTCTAAACCTTTAATTCTTCATCTTTTTCTCTTTTTTGGTGATCTAAATCACTGTTCTTAAGCCTGGTTGTGAGGAAAATCCGTGATCAACCAAGAAAAGATCTGTCTGTGTAGAAGTTGCGCAAGCCACTACGTGTGGCTCACGCCACAGGCAGTGTTTCCCATTAGTAGCTCAAGCCACAGGTAGTGGCTCATGCCACTTCCTCACGGTTAGACACTTTAAGGCTTCATTTTATGGATTCTGATCGGGGAAAGGTCTACAAGGCACTACGTGTGGGGCATGCCCATGCCCTAATAGTGGCGCACGGACCTTAATTTCAAAATATTAGAAGTATTAAATCAATAAACCAATTACAAATCTGGGATCTGTTTGAGTTAAGCCTTAATCATATTCGCTTTTATTGCGTACAAGACTCATTTTGGTTGGATAAATAAACAAAGAGCAAGAAATGGGTAATGATGGTGATAGTTGTTCATAATTCATGATGAACAACAAATTCTTAAACTCAAATCTTGCTTTAAATTAAAAATCATCATTTTTACTTTACTGTCATTTACTTTTCAGTTCTTTTAAGTTCTAGTTCTTTAAATTCCAAGTTCATTTATATTTATGTAATCTTTATCTTTGATCTTTATTCATTTATGCTCTAACCTCTAACCATTAATGTTGTTAATATTGATTTTATCTCCTTTATTGTTGTTCTTGCTTTATGCTATTGTTTGATCATTGTTTTGTTTAAATTCATGTTGAATGCATGGCTTTGATTCTCTTATATTAGATTCTTTATCTTTATTATATTAAGCTTGATGTAAGGGTCCATAATGATTCCCATAAATTGCATATTTGTAATATTATAGGGTTTGGGAAGTTATAATGGTTTAAAGGGTAAATTGTATAATTAAGTGATGGATTGTATTCTTTTCTCCTTCTCCCTTTCTTTATTTGTTTGATATGTTATGTTTGAATAATTAATATGCTTGATTACCATGTTTACAAAAATTGCATAAAAAATGCTTTACACCTTAATTAGAGTTAATGATATTATCAATATCGTGAATGAATGGACAACAAATGAGGTTGGTTTATAATAGCTTCCTGAAACCATACCTAACTCTTACTCAGTCTCTGGTTTAAACTTATTTTCAAAGAAATAATTAATTCATGATGTTTTTCTAAAGAGAGTAGTGACTCCAATAAAATATCTTACCAAAGTAAGAGCCGTTTTACAAATTCCCTCTTAAAAGGATCACCTTTCTAAGGATCAATAAACGGGTCTAATAAAAGAAAATCGATTTAATAAATTAAAACGAATCAAGCCCCTTTTTTTGGCTTTTTGGCCACTCGAAAAATCTTATCGTCCTCAGTCTGACGACTCCGCTAGGGATCGAACCCAGAATATCTGGTTTTCGATTTTTGGGTTCGAGTAAGGAATTGACTCCAATGTTGTCCAACTATTCACACTTGTTGATAAAATTATTAACTTAAAATTGAGTTTACATTA